ACCTTCAAGGTCTTTTTTCTCCATATAGTGAAATTAATGAGAACAAATCAAAATAACCACATAAGTTTTATGTGTAAATCTTGATTTCCCTTGTAAAGTCTTTTTTTTACAGACTAGTTCTGAGTACACAAAGTCTGTATATTTTGAGGGTCCAAGTTGGAGTTGGGCCTCTCCATCTAGTATGTCAGAACTTCTTGCCTTGAAGACAAAATACCCACATGCCCCTGTAATCATGGGAAATACAACAGCAGGTATGGAAGTTTTCCTGTACAATCTCCAGATTAAGATATTCAAGAATGACCTTGATCTGTAAATGACCTTAACTGTCAATGTCAGAAATGAAATATTACTCCAATTCTGTACACAAAATTATGTTCTTCCTCTGATGTGTTTGCCTTGTGAAATAAGAAAAAGTCAAATGTGGCTCCTGCTTGCTTGTTGCTGTTGTATTATATGCAATTGGTTAATTTAACATTAATGAAATATTTATAAAAACAACTAACAGCTTGGTTGTGTGTACATATGAGAAAGCTGTTGGAGGTATCATGTCTGAAAATAATTACAAGAAAACTAGCTTATTGAGCAATGATATGATTTACCGTTAATTATACAAAGATGAATTTTAAAAAATCAATTATAATTAATTGATTAGTTAATTGATTTAGGTATATTCAATTATTTCAGCTTTATCAATTAAGCTAGGGAAATTCAGCAAATCACCTATATTACTATATGGAGGTAAAATAGAAGAGTTAAAGCAGGTCAGTGTAACAGATGATGGCGTCAGTTTTGGTGCCGCCGTGACAGTGACTGAATTAGGCCAACATTTACAACAAATGAAGAATGAAATTCCAGGTAAATTGAATTTTTCTGCATGTTTATGAGTTTTTCTTTATTTTTTTTGGTTTACCAATGATTAGAATTATCAAGGACTTGTAATCTATTTGTATGATGGAAAAAACCCTTTGAACTAATAAATGGTGGTTGTGGCCTACATGTAGTTGTTAAGGTGTTTATTGATTTTCTCATCCCAGAGATCATTCCAGGAAGTGAATTTGATACTGGTTTAAAGATATACTGTATTATGCTAAAATTTGATACATTCACATATTCAAATTAGAATTATCCAGGAAGCAGTTGCCAGATTTTAATAAATATTTGAAATAAAAGTATATTACCAAAAGATGAGTGTAATACTGTATTGTATATCTTTTAAGAAGAAGAAAGCTTCCGAAATAATTTTTAAATTTTAACTTTTTTTACTGTATATTTTTTCCAGAAAGTAAAAGAGAATATTTTACAGCACTAGAGGAAATGGTAGGGAGATATGGAGCAGATCAGATCAGGAATGTTGCTGTAAGATTTTGTTTAAGCATACATCCTATTAGTTTGATTTATTTCATAATGAAAGGGATACGTGCCATAATTTCTAGGATATTTTGCATACAAATATATTATGTTTCGCTGCAAAGGAGATTATTTAAACAATTCTTTACTGGGAGCTAAAACATCTTCAGGACGCCTTTGTGACAGTCACCTGGTTTTCGGGACAGTCCGGGACATGGCACATATGTTTAAGAGGACAATCAGGGACATTCTCCTGCTTGATGATGAATTGAGTTGGTGTGTCAGAGTTTATTCTTGTATGACTTTATCTTTTGTATTTTTGAGCATGTTAGAATTTCAAAAAATATCACATTCTTGTTGAAAACATTGCTTTAAAACAGATTCTTATTTGTATGTTTTCATAATTAGTTTCTAATGAAATTGACACATCTTGAATTGCACTTGATCAACATTGAATTTGGTACTTAACATTGTGAGTATTAGGGATTCCAATTTAAGAATTATAAGATTGATCAGGTAGCAGAATATAGATAAAAATGCAGGAGGTAAACAGCTTTGTAGTTCATGTTATAGACAATACTGTATTACAGTTGTAAAGCAACTTGGATATCTTTATTCTGGAATGTGTTTAGGTTAGGTTAATGTCATTCATCATTGTATATGTATATATTTCAGACATTGAGTGGAAGTATACTGTCAGGAAGGTCCAACTCTGATATTATAACTCTGTTTACAGCCCTTGATGCCAGTGTGTGTCTGATTTCAGGTGAATCTGCTTAATTTCTGTAGAAATGAAATAAAAACACACAAAAATCAAGAATTTTAATCTTTAGCATTGCTATTGGCTAGTGTTACATGAATATTACTATGTATATATACATTATTTGTTAAAAAATGATTTATAGATATCTATACAACCAAACTCTAAAAGGATATAAAAACTATTTGATGTTCAAAAGTGGTTTAAAGGCTTTCCTAAACTGATGTACTGTAAGAAGGTTTATTATTAAAGCAATAAAGAAAAAGTAATAATGCCAAGTCTAATTACCAAGTTTGGCTCACAAGTGGAATATTGTTTTACCCTTCAGAATCGTGTTTCACACAGAATGGGTGAAATTCTGTACAGTATTTCTTGATAATTAGTATGTTAATTTATATATCAATTGGGACCTCCACTGCAATTTTTTGCAGATTTGCTAATCTTGAATTGACACCTGTCACAATGGGTACAAAGTTTGCTAGGGACAATTTACACATTTCATTAAAATACAACCATTCAGTGTTTACTTAATTTACTAAAAATTTGTAGTTTTACAAAAGTGGTTGTATGTGTTTGTAGGCTTCCACAATGAAGCATGTTGTTTTTTCCCCCTTATTAAAGCTTTGAATGTGGTCATGTGACCTTGACATTGTCTCTTTTAAAACTGGACAAAATGTGACATAATGATAAAACAAATATATGTAGGAGTTCAATGCTAAAATATGGACATATTATATTATGTACTGTGAACCTATCATAAGTGATATTAAAAATTTACTATGTATAACATCTGAATAATATTTTAGCTAATGGTGAGAGAAAAGCTGGAATTGAAGGACTTTGTCTGCAGGAAAATGAGGTCATTAAATCAGTGTGCATCCCAAACAGTGATCAGGTACAAAATATATTTTTAATCTCTACCAAGTTTCAACAAATAAAAATGCCCATTTTATGCTGCCCTTCACCCTCCTCCACAAAAAATGTTCACACACATAGTTGTAAAAATATTACCCTTAACTTTCTTTTGCCACAAGTATAGAATCAGGCCGTCTGTACATTGGAGCAGTCTGACCAGGCCCTATACTGTTGATAGCTCAATTTTTCCATTTTGTTATTGAAATCCCTTAAAATGCAAATGGACTGTTCCAAACTTAAAGTAGGGAAAATACATCACATAAATTCACCGGGTTAAGTGTTATCAATAATAGTATGACCAAATGATCAAGTTAACTTGCTAAAGAGCTATTGCTTCTGGATTTTGACAGAATTATGGCCCTTTTTGAACTGAGAAAATGCTATATTATCCTGGGTATTGTTTAACTATTAAGTACTGAGAATATTTGAGCATGCTGTTCTTCTGACGGTTCTTGTTTGTTTTCTTTCTAGGGTACTAAAACCAAGAGTATGTTCTTCAAACAAGCACAGAGAAGAACATTCTCATTGGCTATCATTAACTGTGGACTGGTTGTGACATTGTCAGATAAAAGGATGGTGGAAAAACTAAGGTAACATTAGAACATTTCTTGTATGAAGCCATAAAAAATACCCTCATAAAACACTCTCTTCTGAGAATAAAGTGACTTATGGACAAATGTTATTAAGCTATTAAAACATGTATATATTATCACTTTTGAGGTCTCTGTATCTTTACCAAGTTTGGATTATCATCAGTACAGGAGCAACCAAACAAGTTAATCAACCTTCCATGAGGTGGAGTTTCTGCCTCTTAATTCAGAGGTTATGGGTTAGAGCTTAATTGGGTCACAACCAGATTTCTTTATTTGACACCAGCAATCATTAGTTGTAGTCTCAAAATGTGATTAATATAAGTTACAGGAAATTATATTCAAAATGATGAAAATCAAATGTATGAAAACTATGTTTAAAACTGACCACCCTCTTCATAAGTGCAAATATGGTACATTCTAAATTGTTTCCCTTTTATTAATTCAGGATTTGTTTTGGAGGGATAGCTGACAAAGCAGTTTTGGCAAGAAAGACAATGAAGTTAGCAGTTGGGAGGTAAACATGGTATTATTTCATAAGGATTTATTACATTACTTATTTTACATTATACTCTGACTATTGTTGGTTATGCAAGGTATATATTCTGTACATACTATATTATCTAGATAATCTTAGATAATGTAGTATATACGGAAAATATATTGTGGCTAACCAACACTGTACTGGGACATGATATACAAAACAATGCTAATGTGGCAACTTGGCAGACATTGACATATTCATCTTTAGCGTACTGCTGCTTCAAATGATGAAGTAGTGAAATAACACATTAACTTTAAACTAGTTTAAATTGTGTAATGGATTTCCTCAGGTATGAATTTGGAACAGTCCATTAGTTTATACAAATTGTTTTTAGTTTGATTGTGTTGGATGCTATAAGCTGATTGAAATACTCTCGAATCCGTTCCTGGAATCATCAGTTCTAAGCAATGAATGTAAAGTTTCTTGCTCATGGAAACTAAGGCTTGTCCCAGACAGGATTTAAACACTAACAGTCTATTCAAAGTTTTAAGGGATTATATTATCAAAAATGCAAAATTGAGCTACCAACAGTATAGAGCCTGGTCAGACTACATGGATGTGCAAGCCAGCCTGGCTCAATAATGATGACAAAGGCTAATCACTTTCAGTTTCAGCATATTTAGAGTTAAACTGATTCGTTCTGGTAGAAGTTTTCTGAGAACACTCGTTTTGTTAATTTCCCGCCAGATAGATATACTGAATACAGACTGTGACTAAACGTTATAAAAAGGAACATAATATTTAAATTTTTCAGGATCTGGGATGATGACTTGCTTCAAGATGTCATTGTCAGTTTGTCAGAAGATTTTGCGTCTGACAATGGCAAGCCTGTTGACAACTACAAGCTCTCCGTGGCAACAGCTTTCTTCTTCAAATTCTATAATCAAGTGAAAACAGAATTGGTATATACCCTGCATTATAGTTCTATTTTTACATCCTAGATAATGATTTATTTAATTTTTATACTTATTGCTGCATAAGAATTTTAAGAAATTAATTTTTTTAGCAACTAGAAATTTTCCTTGTAAGTGTTTCTCCAATGTCCTTTTCATACACTGCATTGCATTGCCACTATTGTAAACATGAAAAATATAAAGAATTCTGTTATTATATGTTTTCCTTGTTGAAAAATATTGAACATGTAGGAAAACTCAATAAAATCTATTTTTGGATGGAAAAAACATTCAAATACATATATGTACATCTTTTAAAACCTATTAGGCTATTGTAATTTCATTTGAAAGTAATCTCTTTCATGAGAATACTTATGTCTTGCATACATACTTATTTCTCTGTTTTTAGTTATGTTAAAGAATAGAGAGGTCTTCTTAATGGCCATTTATGTAAGTCAAACATTTCCATAACGAATGTATTTAAATTAAACATTTCCCATATAGGGTCAATCTGGGCCAGGTACCGCATGTCTGGATCTACTCACACTTGAACCCTGCTCCGCTACACAATACTATGATGCCTGTACAGAGCCGGGTCAATCAGAGGACGATGCATTAGGCCGACCTATACCAAATGTATCGTCAGAGGCTGTGGTGTCAGGGGAGGCAGTGTATACAGATGATATGCCTAGAATGGAAGGTGATCTTTTACACCAGTTTCTCACTGAGAATTTAATAAAAGGCTAATGAATATTATTTCATCTATTAATTTTTTGATGAATTTTTAGTGACAACAGCTTAAAATGTAATTAGGGTGGCTTTCAAACTGAGATAGTATATTAAAGGTTAACATTTGTTATGTCACCTATTTATTGTTCGAGATGAGTTTTTTGTGACAACAGCAGATGTAATTAGAGTGGCTTCCAAATTTGATTGTTGGAAGTGGAATTCTGAATTGTTTGGGAATAAGACAAAATGATTCTCTCTGTTAAAAAATGTAAAAAAGATTTACCTTGAACAAGGCAGAGCAGTATTCAATGAAGGCATAAGGATTCTCTGACAGAGTTCTCTAAAGTTATTTTGCTATACATTCGAATAAGAGGAAAATCTAAAGTACAGGCATATTTAACTGGTTTTTCTATTCATGTACATGTATTTACTTTAGTATGTATGGATATGGTTGTAAGAGCATTTTTAACTGTTCTTAAAATTTGTAAGCATTGTAACAGATTACTTATTTAAAAAATCTAAACAAAAAAAAACTTTCAACATTAAAGCACAGTCTTGTTTATGTTGAAAGCCTGGTTCAAAACTGTGACAGATTTTGAAAGTTATAATCAATATAACAGATGACTGATTTATAACAATGTTCATTATAAAGTAAGTGTAAATGAACAAAATGATAATTAAATGATTATTTTCTGTCTTGAACCTAGGTGAGTTGTTCCTAAGCCTTGTCTTAAGCCGTAGAGCTCATGCTAAAATTCTGAGTGTGGATCCCAGTGCGGCATTGAAGATGGAGGGTGTGCACAGTTACATTGATCATAGAGATGTCCCAGGTTCAAATCTGTGGGGACCCATTAAAAAGACGGAAGAAATCTTTGCATCCAAGGAGGTAGTTTTTATTTTCTTGCATATCAGACAGGATTATTTACTGTTTAAACCGGTGCTAGAAACCTGTCTTACATATTTTGTATAAGACAAGTCACATTCTTTAAAAAATGATGTCATTCTTGTAGACCTTTTATGAAAGAAATTAATTTTTAGAATGATGTCATTTTGCTGTATGAATGAAGAATCAAACACCGGCTGTCATAACAGATGGGAATAATTATCTCTCGTGAAAACTCTGCAGAACCTTGTTTACCACCGTAAACAGATATTCCAGTCTGTACCGGCAGCCAGTTAAAGATTCTCATATTCGTATATAAATTTGAATTTATTTTATGATTACAAAAATAAATGCTTATTGAGGCACATGTTTACAAGATTACAATATAATAGAACTCAATTTTAATATCAAAATCTTTAAAGCATCATTCTTCCAAATTCATGCTAATTTTCATGAAAATGTTTAAAATTAAAAAATAAAATATTAACAAAACTGAACGAAGAAAGTAACAAATGCATGGAGAGGCACCTGGAGGGTCGCCATAATTATGACTTCTACTGTGTTGGTAACCCAGCTTAAATGATAAATTTATTTAACAATCCCTTTTAATTAAAAAATTGTATTTTTTGCAGGTGTTGTGTATAGGCCAGCCAATAGGAGCCATATTAGCAGAGAATAGGGAAGTGGCAGGAAAAGCAACATATCTTGTGAAAATAGAATATGAGGATCTCAAACCAATACTTACTATTGAGGTACTTTCTGTTGATATATTTTAATGTGTTGTTTCTTTCTTGTTTACCTTTATCACTCCAAAGATCTTCATTGGACTTGTCCTTTCAATCTGCTCAAATCCATTTATCATTTTTATAGAAAAATTCAGAATGTGCACTGACAGATTAAATAGCAAACAGTGCATACCAGTATCAGTCTGCGCAGAAGTGCTGGCTGATCTTGGTCTGCACTGGCTGCAAGAGTAGAAACATTTGCTTGTAGCAGGCTTGGGGTTAAATAAAATGTGTAGAAATCCCACTGGGAAAAAACGGTTTTGAACTGAACGATAGTCTTATTTGATGGATTGTGTGCAATGGGACCGACAAAGAGCTATCCCAGGCTGCACATCCTTTGCACTCTGATCAGACTCTATACTTCATTGTTACTTCATTATTTTAGTATTTTGATTGTTAAATCATAATAACTTACAATAGACAGTCAAAGAATCACAGTGGTTTTAAGCCCAACAAGTCTGGCAACAAATTAAGTTTGAACACGTTAGTATAGTATGTCTTTGAAATTTTGCTTGTTTTCCAAGGATGCAATTGAAGCACAGAGTTTCTATGAAGGTGCACCATGTGCCCACCAGCTGGAAGGGGACATAGAGAAAGGATTTCAGGAGTCTGATCATGTTGTGAATGGTAATTCTGATTATTTTGTAAAGTGTGATGTGTATTTTGAATATGCCTGGCTTATTTCTATATGTTTAATGCTAGGACATGTTTTAAGCATTGAAGAGTTGGAAAGGCTATTGTACTCACACAGCTACATCTTAAAACAGCATACATCCAGATTCATGCTTATTTTCATGAAAATTTTGAAAATGTTTTAAGTCTGAAATATTTTAAATTCGAAACAAAGTAATTTACACATTGCAAATATCATTTTCAATCCAGGTGACTAAATAAATATCAAAATAAGCAAAGAAAAAGCCCATATTGCATTAGTCATGCAGAAGAAATATGGCGATAAATACTGCAAAATTAGGCATTCATCACATGCAACATGTAGATTGATTTTTTTTGTGGCTCATCCGGAGGTATGCAGCTACCAGGGATATGGACAAAAGTCCCACCATCACCCCGGACATAAGCCCCCCCCCCCCTCCCATGAAATTTACAGATAGGACAAAAGCCCCTATTCAAAAATGCAGATAGGACAAAAGCACCCCCGCCCCTCCCCCGTTCCATCAAACAATAACCCCCCTAAGGTTTATAGACCAGACTGACTACTATCTTTTTTCACACACCAAGGTGCTCAAATTCATCAAGATTCACACTAACTTTTAAATAAAAATGAAAAGAATTTGTTTCTCATGTTAATTTATAATGTACATATTTAAGTGATGATGAAACATATGATAACAGATGAAATAACGCATGCATGCGATACTAAATTCATAGCTTTTCATATCAGTTATTCCTCTTACAAAATATGGACCAGAAGACTAGTAATGTTAAATCACTTTATTTTATTGTGATTTTATGATAGCTTTTTATTACATGCTTTTCAGTAGACCGTGAAATTACTTTTTAAAAATGATTTCACAATGACATTATAGAATTTTTCACTGTCGTCTGATTACAGTTGAGTCCACACTAAACTTCCCACCCTTGTGCACTTCTAGTGCACTCGAGCTGAACTAGAATTGCACACCATGTGCACTTCTAGTGCACTAGACCATATGACCAGGCTGGCCAGGGAAGGTGACACCTAAATGGTTTATTGGATAATTGCATATCAAGTGACAGGGGGCATCCATTGTTAAGCTGCTGTAAGAAAAAAAAACTTTGGGAATATATGGCCTATTCATGAATATAAATAAGTAAATTTTAAAATCAGCAGTTTTAACATTTTAGGTGATTATCATGTTAAAGCTTAAAATTATTTTTTTTATCTATTGTAATCATATTTTTATAAATAAGTAAAATGTGAGTAAAATGTGCCTGAACTCAAGAAGCACATGAATATCTGCTGGTATCATTTTAAAAATGTTACAAAATTCGGAAAATTTTACAGAATTACTTTTCAAAAAGTATAATGTGACATCACCATGAATAAGAAGGCTTGTTGTTACATAGCAAAAACTCATTAAAAATGATTTAGAACCCCTAAAAAGCATGAAATAAATAGAAAATTTGGTGTTCACTCTATGAAATATATTTCAATCTTACATGCAAAACAAATATCCTCTAACATTAAATTTAACAGAATGATTATTATAACAGGGGAATATAGGACTGGACATCAAGAACATTTCTATATGGAGCCACATGCTGCGTACGCCATTCCTAAAATAGAGAATAATGAACTGGAGATTTATTGTACAGCACAACACCTGATGAACTTACAGGTCAGTATAGACACATGTTAAAGATATTGCTATTTTATATATAATTTTTTTTTATAATGTGTCAGTGACGTTTTTGTGTCGCCTCTACGGAGTAGTGGCGACATATAGGGATCACTTCTCCGTCGTCTGTCTGTCCGTCTGTCTGTCTGTCTGTCCGTCCGTCCGTCACAAAAGCTTGTCCGGACTACTCCTCATAAACTACTGGTGCAATTTCATCCAAACTTTACAGGAATGATCAGTACCAAGTCTAGTTGTGCATATTGTCAGCATTTTCCGGTTCAATGATTTTTGTCAGAGTTATGGCCCTTTAATAATTTTTAATTTTAAAGTTTGTCCGGACTACTTCTCTTATACCATAAATGCAATTTCAATGAAACTTTACAGGATTGTTCTGTAGCTCAAGTCCTTGCGCATATTGCAAGAGTTTTCCGGTTGAATGATTTTTGGCCGAGTTATGGCCCTTTGATAAAAATGTTTCTTTTTCTGTGTGTTGCCAGGTACACAAAAGCTTGTCCGGACTACTCCTCATATACTACAGGTGCAATTTCATCCAAACTTTACAGGAATGATCAGTACCAAGTCTAGTTGTGCATATTGTCAGCATTTTCCGGTTCAATGATTTTTGTTTGAGTTATGGCCCTTTAATAATTTTTATTTTTAAAGTTTGTCCGGACTACTTCTCTTATACCACTTATGCAATTTCAATGAAACTTTACAGGATTGATCTGTAGCTCAAGTCCTTGCGCATATTGCACGGGTTTTCCGGTTGAATGATTTTTGGCTGAGTTATAGCCCTTTGATAAAAAGGTGTTTTTTTTCTGTGTGTTGCCAGATACGCAAAAGCTTGTCCGGACTACTCCTCATAAACTACTGGTGCAATTTTATCCAAACTTTACAGGAATGATCAGTACCAAGTCTAGTTGTGCACTGTCCGTCTGTCTGTCCGTCTGTCACAAAATTTGTCCCAACATGAAATTGGCCATCATGAGGCGACACATGTGATTACTGATCGCTCTTGTTTCAAAAAATAGGATAACAGGAAACAAATTGTCCGCTTTACTAATTTAAATTTTAGAGTTTTCTCTCAATTGCATGTTTTAAAGCAATCTAGTCAATTTTTTTATGCTTTGAAGAAATTATCTTTCTTTTTTCTTCTTTTTTTAGCTCACCTGTCACAAAGTGACAGGGTGAGCTTTTGTGATCGCTTTTTGTCCGTCCGTCCGTCGTCCGTCCGTCGTCCGTCCTTAAACTTTTACTTTAAATGACATCTCCTCATAAACCACTAAGCAAATTTCATCCAAACTTCACAGGAATGTTCCTTTGGTGGTCACCTTAAAAAATTGTTCAAAGAATTTAATTCCATGCAGAACTCTGGTTGCCATGGCAACCGAAAGAAAAAACTTTAAATATCTTCTTTTAAAAAACCATAAGAGCTAGAGCTTAGATATTTGGCATGAAACATCTTCTAGTGAGTGTCTTCCAAGTTTGTTCAAATAAAAGCCCTGGGGTCAAAATTAGCCCCGCCCCAGGGGGTCATTGATTTTCCCTATATGCATATAGTAAAAACTTAAAAAATCTTCTTTTAAAGAACCCAAAGAGCTAGAGCTAAGATATTTAGCATGAAACATGTTCTAATGAGTGTCTACCAAGTTTGTTCAAATAAAAGCCCTGGGGTCAAAATTGGCCCCGCCCCGGGGGGTCATTGATTTTCCCTATATGCATATAGTAAAAACTTAAAAAAAAATTCTTTTAAAGAACTCAAAGAGCTATGGCTAAGATATTGAGCATCAAACATGTTCTAATAGGTGTCTACCAAGTTTGTTCAAATAAAAGCCCTGGGGTCAAAATTGGCCCTGCCCCAGGGGGTCATTGATTTTCCCTATATGCATATAGTAAAAACTTAAAAAATCTTCTTTTAAAGAACCCAAAGAGTTAGAGCTAAGATATTTAGCATGTAACATGTTCTAATAAGTGTCTACCAAGTTTGTTCAAATAAAAGCCCTGGGGTCAAAATTGGCCCTGCCCCGGGCGGTCATTGATTTTCCCTATATGCATATAGTAAAAACTTAAAAAATCTTCTTTTAAAGAACTCAAAGAGCTATGGCTAAGATATTTAGCATCAAACATGTTCTAAAAGGTGTCTACCAAGTTTGTTCAAATAAAAGCCCTGGGGTCAAGATTGGCACTGCCCCGGGGGTCATTGATTTTCCTTATATGTGTATAGCAAAAACTTAAAAAATCTTCTTTGAAAAAACCCAAATAGCTAGAGTTAAGATATTAAGCATGAAACATCTTTTAGTGAGTGTCTACAAAGTTTGTTCAAATAAAAGACCTGGGGTCAAAATTGGCCCAGCCCCGGGGATCATTGCTTTTCCTTATATGTGTATAGCAAAAACCTGAAATCTTCTTTGAAAAAACCCAAATAGCTAGAGTTTAGATAATAAGCATGAAACATGTTCTAATGAGTGTCTACAAAGTTTGTTCAAATAAAAGCCCTGGGGTCAAAACTGGCCTGGCCCCAGGGGTGTTATTGTTTTTAACTATATGTGTATAGTTAAAACTTAAAAAATCTTTTTTTAAAAAACTCAACGAGCTAGTCCTTAGATGTTTAGCGTGAAATATCTTCTAATGGGTGTCTACCAAGTTTGTTCAAATAAAAGCCCTGGGGTTTAAACTGGCCCGGCCCTGGGGGCCTATATACAGGTGAGCGACTTCAGGGCCATCATGGCCCTCTTGTTTTTTTCTTTTCTTTTTTTTTTGTAAGAAATTACCCATTATTTTCTCTGTCTTCTGTGCTTTGGAATGTGCACATGCTTGTTGTAATAGTTTTTTAATTTGTAAGAAACTAATTTCAGCTCAACTTTTTGCTAACTGCAAGTTGATATTTCCAAAACTACTGAAGGAAATAGGTTTAAACTTCACACACTTATTTGAAAGCATGTCACTAGCCAAGGCCAATAACTCTTAACATGGATTTTGACAGAATTATGGCCCTTGTTGAACTTAGAAAATTCTATTCGGGCTTTAGTTTTTTAGCTCACCTGTCACAAAGTGACAGGGTGAGCTTTTGTGATCGCTTTTCGTCCAGCGTCCGTCCGTAAACCTTTGCTTCAAATGACATCTCCTCATAAACCACTCAGCAAATTTCATCCAAACTTCACAGGAATGTTCCTTTGGTGGTCACCTTTAAAAATTGTTCAAAGAATTTAATTCCATGCAGAACTCTGGTTGCCATGGCAACCGAAAGAAAAAAACTTTAAATATCTTCTTTTAAAGAACGCAAAGAGCTAGAGCTTAGATATTTGGCATGAAACATCTTCTAGTGAGTGTCTACCAAGTTTGTTCAAATAAAAGCCCAGGGGGTCATTGATTTTCCCTATATGCATATAGTAAAAACTTAAAAAATCTTCTTTTAAAGAACCCAAAGAGCTAGAGCTAAGATATTTGGCATGAAACATTTTCTAATGAGTGTCTACCAAGTTTGTTCAAATAAAAGCCCTGGGGTCAAAATTGGCCCCGCCCCAGGGGGTCATTGATTTTCCCTATATGCATATAGTAAAAACTTAAAAATCTTCTTTTAAAGAACCCAAAGAGCTAGAGCTAAGATATTTAGCATGAAACATCTTCTAGTGAGTGTCTACCAAGTTTGTTCAAATAAAAGCCCTGGGGTCAAAATTGGCCCCGCACCAGGGGGTCATTGATTTTCCATATATGCATATAGTAAAAACTTAAAAAATCTATTTTTAAAGAACTCAAAGAGCTAGAGCTGAGATATTTAGCATGAAACATGTTCTAATGGGTGTCTACTAAGTTTGTTCAAATAAAAGCCCTGGGGTCAAAATTGGCCCTGCCCCGGGGGTCATTGATTTTCCTTATATGTGTATAGCAAAAACTTAACATTATGAAACATCTACTTTATACAGGTGAGCGACCTCAGGGCCATCATGGCCCTCTTGTTTACTTTGAAGCACTGAAAATAGTCAAACATGCTCTTTTTCTGTAATCTGCTGTTAAGTCATGATTTTAATAAAAAAAAACATTTTCTTTGAAACAGGGGACTTTATGTGAAGCAATAAATGTTCCCAAGCATAAAGTGAATGTCAGGATCAGACGACTTGGTGGAAGTTTTGGCGGGAAAGATACAAGAAATGCAATGGTTGCTGCGCCAGTTGCTATAGCAGCACACAAGTAAGATTTCTGTTTGCTGGTTTACAACTTATGATTTTACCATTATCGAGGTTAGATAAGAAATTGCGATTTACTCAGCTTTTTATTCCTTTTATGAAATCTGAATTAATCCAATTGTGTTTAAGCATCTGATTGTATAAGCAGTTTGAAAAGCCTTGATAAAAATATTTTAGAATTACACCAATGTAAGACAGGTGCTCTAGTAACTTTGGATAATAACTAAAGCCACAATAACACTGTACAAGCCATGTTACAACTTTTCAATTTTACCACAATTCATTGCAGCAAGGATCTATCTCATTAAACTCAAATCATAACTAACACGCTATTACACTTTGCAAGATTGGAACACAAAGTGGTGAGATAACAAGTGATCCAAAATCTTGGCCTAGTATAATTAAAAACCCTGCATTAATTATAAGTTGTTAGATTACAATGATCTTTTTCACATAACAGATATAAACGCCCCGTGAGATGTGTATTACCGAGGGAGATCGACATGGAGATTACTGGCAAACGTCATCCTTTCCTCGGAAAATATAAGGTTTGTCTCTTGAAAAGAATAATGAAGAAAGAATACATGAAATATTAAACATTTGGAAAAAAAAAAAAAGAGCGAGGCTGTCTTTTTTGTTATTACATCTAATGTAGTTTTATATTTCATCCTAAAAAATGTTGATTATCCATTATTGGTCAATCACCATTATAATAGTCTATCTTTTGAATACATTTGTAAATTACAAATTCATCTGAACTTGACAGTGGGAAAAAATGAGCATAATGTCACATTAAATTTCATATATTTAAAACAGGTAGGATTCAATAAGGAAGGGAAGATGAAAGCATTAGATTTGAAGCTATACAATCAAGGAGGACACTCTTTGGACAATTCTGTGGAGGTTTGATGTCTTTTTCCCCCCATTCTTTCTACTTTAATGTCCCTATATTGATCAATGTAACAATCAAGGGTTTATTGTTTTTGTCCGGACTTTTTAGGTACTTTTGTTATCTCTCTAGTTTGAACATCTTTGACTGCATCAGTCTCTCTCCTTACATCAGTGGTGAAGGTTGATGACTTCAAACCACTGGCCCCACACTGCTTAGGGTTTTATTTCCAGCATGGAAGGTAGGAAAGCTGAAAAGTCGCCATATGACCAATACTGTGACATAAATACCCTCCCTCCACCCCCACCGCAAAAAAAAAAATACAAAAAAAACATCTGTGCCCATGAAATAAGCTAAAGCCTTCCTTACAGAGGTACAACAATAAACCTGTTTTAGTTTGGTTGGGATTCATGTTCCACCAGCATTGCATAGATCATATGGTTACTTTTTAAGCTGTACTGGACAGTCATGTGGTTATGTACACAGGTGGTCTTTTTTTAAAGGCTTATAAATTTAAAATGATTTCTGGAATAGAAACAAGATCATAATTTAAAAATATATATTATCTTTGTTTATTAATGAACTTCTACTCAGGTGTTACTGTATTGTTTCATTAGAAATTATACTATTTTCAGGTAATAGGAGTATCAGTAGACAACTTTGACAGTGGTTACAAAATCGAGAATGTAAAAATCGAGGGTTATAGCTGTAGGACAAACATCATGTCAAATACGTCATTCCGTGGTTTTGGAGGCCCACAGGGGGTACTTATAATGGAAGATGTTCTATTCAATATTGCCTGTACCCTCGGCATCAGTCAAGAGCAGGTATAGTTATTATACGTTCATGTTGACAGGATCATTTGATTGGCAAATCATGGTCTCTGGATGTGGAATTTCAGCATAAATTAGGATTCTGAAATAAATAACAGGTATTCTGTTGTGAACAGGCAACAAAAGAGAGTAAATTGCTTAATTTCTTCTTTTATTGCTCTGGCACCAAACATTTGTCATTATATGTTAACTAATGTTAGTGAATCAATGTACTGGTACTTAGAAAGGTGTTCTGGTCAGGGACCATCAATCAGACACTTTTTGAAATTTTTTCCATACAGAGTTCACAATTTTAAAGGTAGATACTTGGAAATTTAACACAGTAAAGCCAGGTTCTTCTTCAAATGGAAGAGCTCCTTTGTTTATTTCAGATATTGTAGACATTTGTATTTGAGGCCTCTGCTGGGGGTATCAAAATTACTTAAATTGTCTTTACTATAGTACAATATGACCAGACAGAAATTTTTAACTTTAATCTGATTCAGTAATGCCTTTAGTTCTATTCTTTTATATTTTGAACATAAAATCAGGGTCTTTCATGACCCTGATAAAAATGAAATTGATATTGTACATTTTCAATTTGTTTAAAGGTGAGGGAGGTAAATATGTATAAAGAAGGGGATACAAATCCACATGGTTTAAAACTTGAGAATTGCACTGTTAGAGATCTGTGGGCTAAATGTAAAGAGGATAGTAAATATGAAGAGAGGCTGAAAAGTGTGAAGGCCTTCAACAGGTATGTTTGTTGATTTTCTAATTTTAAAGGGAGGTAATATAAATGTTATCATGCTATTCATCATATATTTTAGTTTCCTGTAAAGGTTTTATTCCCTTTTTAGTGAGCTCAAAGGTTGCAAATAAATCATCAACATAATAGTTTCTGTTGACATTATGTACTTTTCGTTGGCAAATCTTCTGCCTTAATGACAATCATGACAATATCTTAAGGTATGTAATTAACTTGTCAATCTCTGAAAAATTTGGGGTTTGGACCTTCCTTGGCTGAGTGGCTTTGGTTGTTGACTTTAAATCACTTACTACTGACTGCTTTCGGTTTAAATTCCTGTGGGAAAAATGCATTTTTTCATACAAGGAAGCTATCCAGCTAGCATATGGAAGGTCAGTGGTTCTAGTCAGGTGCCTTAGTCTATAAAATGGTGCTTGAGGTTTGTCTCCACCAGTAATACTGCAAAGTCTCCATATGACCGTGACATTGCCATTGTGACTTGAAATCCAACACAGTTAACAAATCAACTTTTTGCCTGTATTTGAATATTAACCAACCACATTTAAGGGAACTTGAGATTTAAATATTAAAACTAAGCTGGGATCAGTATTGAGTTTGTTAATGGCAGGAAAATCAGGCTAGACCTGAATCTATTCTGATGCCATTTGCATATCTTTCTATATCATTGCTTGTGTTCCAGGAGTAAAAGATAAGGTTAACATGTGTTCAGAGACAATTTGGAAAAAAAAACACAACATTATAACAGTCAAACCTGTGTTTAAGCCCACCTCAGGATAATGATAACCCTGCAAATAAAGGCCACGGTTTAATAACCCTTTCATTGATAAAATAACATAATTTTCCTCTCCTTTAAGTCGCCTTGCCCTTAGGTTTGACTATACTGTATTTCAGAGATAATAAATTTAAGAAGAGAGGTATCGCGATGACCACAGATAAGTTTGGAGTAGGTTTTCCAGCTGTTTTCTTAAATCAGGTAATTGATAAGAGTTTTTTCTAGATTATGTCAGAGTTTTTCCATACATTATTTTAGGAACAATGTGTATTCAAAAAAAAACATGTTTTTTCATATGACATTAGTACTGGTTGTTTCCAGGAAGCAGACTCAAAAGTGATATATATAAGTTGCAAGAACTTGTTTGGCAATCAAGCTTAAATAAATATGTTTAAACCAATGGTCTGTCAAGGATTTTTAACTATATTTTCTTGGTTATGGTATGGTAATTGTTTAAAAAAAATGTCCCAGCAATGGTTATGCTTTGTCTATGGGTTTTAAACATTTTCCCTAGTAACAATAAAGCAAGCAACCTGAGGAGTGCTGGGTTCGGACCCAGTTAGGGCCAAGCCATTGTTTTCTTTAGGAAGAAACTTTACCTTCATTGCTCTGTACTTGTTGGTTCCAGGAACAAATTTAAGAGTCTTTCAATATAGCTCCCAACACAGACAAACTAAAATAAATTGTATAAACTAATAAGACTATGAGCTATTGAAGTGATTCTAAGCTTGAAAAAAAGTGTAGTTTACATTAATTTTGTCAGTATCAAACTAGATTTTGCCTTGGTTGATATAAAAAGAATTGTATGATTACAATATTTATATTAGTAACAATGGATTGCTTTTAACCCTTGAATGGACTATTCCAAATTTAGATCAGGGTGGATTCTTTCAGAAATTAAGCATGTTAAGCCTTTATCTTATCCAGCCAATCAAATAGAGTTGACAACTATTTCAGGGTACGGCCATTGTGAACATTTACACAGATGGTTCAGTGTTCTTGGCTCATGGCGGAGTTGAAATGGGGCAGGGACTGAATACAAAACTTATACAGGTACTCTTTTATAAACCATTATAAACAGTAAAAAAAAGACTTAAAACAATATGAAATAAGCTGAAAATTTTAAGGTAGATATGATATTTGCAGATTGGCACCTCGACAAGTAGAACATGATTAAAATAATGGTATCTAGAGGATCTTTAGACCATGATCATTGTACTGTATCACCATAAAATATGTACACTTGATCATCGGCTTCAACAAGAGAAGCATTGTCTTCTTGTATAATTATGAATCAAAGTACAGAGTTTATATCAATTTGATAAATGTAATATTTTTGTTGTAATTGAACAAAGGAAAAGCTGTCTGTGATTGTCCAGGTCATTGTGTTCCTTAGTGTATGTGGACATTGTCAAGGTCATTATATGTACATATAAGGAATTCTTTTGTTATGGTCATTTTCAGCTCTACTTTTCTAATAATAAGAAATTTTAGGTGTTGTACTCATTTGCACTTTCGTTTAGTTTATGACAGAATTATGACTCTTTTACAACTTACAAAATTCTAAATTCTACATTTTCCATGCTCTTGTCTTACTATGAAGCACTGAGAATAGTTGAGCACTCTGTCCTACTGACAACTCTTGTTTTATTTGTACAGGTAGCATCAAGAGCACTAGGTGTTCCAGTTGAACTTATCTACACAAATGATACCAGCACAGAGAAGATTCCTAATGCTACACTCACAGGGGGCAGTATGGGTACTGACATTTATGCTCCTGCAGTTCTTGTATGTATATTAATCCTAACCACACTATAAATATTTTGAATGGAATTGGCCATCTTTCAATCTGGACAAAACCATTTATCGTTTTTAGGGAATTTTTATTTTGCGTGATTGTAAGATAACAACTAAATGGGTTTGAATAACTGGTGTCTATTTATCTGTTAGCACAAGCAGGTGATGTGGTTTTGATCCCTGTTAATGCTTTGTAGCACCCAAGGTTAGCCAAAATAATCTTTCATGTTTAGGCCCAGTCTGATCTGTACTGTGTTTATGCACTGTAAAAGCAAACCAACAAACAATTCAAATGACTGACTATGAAGTGAACAGTGCAGACCCTGATTTGACATAACAGGTGTCCAGCTTATCTTTGTCTATACTGTAGGCATGGGTAAAATCTTTTGGTGACAGCAGGTTAAAGGTTAAAACATTACTTTGCTGGAAACTTGTACTTGTAGCTCTTATAACAATAATTGCGGGTCCTATAATGCCATCGGAAAAAAACGTGGACGCTTTGTACGATCATGCATATTAAATTGACAGCAAACATTTAGTTTTAGTTGTTCAAAATGAGATTAATAGAACTTGTTATCATGAGGTCCAAATTTAACCAAATAAAAAGTCCTTGAAACACATTTACAAGGGTTATGGTTAATGATTTTTGTGATTTTGCACCTTAAGATCCTATGAACAATTAATGTCATGTATTACAGTACAACCTCTGCAGAGTTTGAGAAAATTGTATTCTGTTGTAGTGCAGAGGTTATTGCTCTACAGAGGGCCTCTCTTTTGAGGTTACACTGCAATAAGTTTAGTCATCTCTGAAAATTTGTTTTACCATGAACTCTGTACTATCTGAATCGAAAACTTTTAAGAAAATAATGGAGTAAGGTATGAAATGAAATATTTTACAGCCAAAAATCATTGCTACCCATAAAAAAAGTATGGCAAAAAAATGTTTTTTGTTCTTAACATTGGATCAGAGTTTGTCAATGTAAACCACATCTCTTTATACATGTACATGAAGGTCTCATGTTTTAGGATTGTAAAAAAAAAGAAATTAAATGGTTTCGAAATGATTCAAAGCATCCACAATTTCTTTTTTTGAAATCCTAATAATTCAGCTGTCTAACTATTTAAGATATAGAAAAAAGCTGTTACCAAGTTTTGTTTCAAAAGGGGAAACAAAGATATTTTTAAGTTGAGCTGTTTCATTAGTAGAGATACGTTGTTGCTTTCATTGTAATAAAACTAAAATTATGAAATGTAAATAAATATTCTACAAGTATTGTCTACCTTTAAACATTTCAGGATGCTTGCAATGTTTTGTCAGAGAGACTTGAACCTGTGAGGACAAGGCATCCAGACCTGGCTTGGCCTGCACTGGTATGTTTTATATGCAATTACAGACTCACTAGTGTTAATAATTTTGGCCTACTTGATAGAGCAATACATGTACTTGTAGTTTTTATCTTATCACTGATTTTTGAGTACTGTGGGTTCAAATATATAGAAAATATACCATAAATACAGATTTTCATCATCAGTCAGCTGTACATAGTTTAAAGGAACTTCATTGTGGAACAAAAGCCTACAAAAACCCATAGAATTTAGATCTGCTAGGGCACTTGAAACAGAAAGATATGCAAACAATAATTAAGAAATATACTTGGAAATTAATTATATGTGGATTTTTTGGCATTCTATAGCCTGATTTGAGTGAAAAGCATTGCAAAGCTTTTCAATTTCGTGTCATTTTTCACAATTAAAATAAATATTCTAGATAAATGGAGTGAGCAATTGGTCCTAAGTTATTGGTCCAGAATTTCATCAATTAGATTATTATTCTTGAAAAAATAATTCCCACTCTCGTCTTATCAATCAAAATCTTCAGCGAAGTCCCTTTAATTTCTTTGATGAATCTTATTATAGTTGTTGTTTTTCTGTGTTATTTCTGATATTAAAATTTGACTGACATGCTGTGTTTCAGGTTAAGAAGGCCTACTTTAACAGGGTGAAACTGGTTGCCACTGGGTTTTCTAGGTAGGTTTTACAAAACTTGAACTTTGGTTCTGTATGTGTTTTTTTTCTGCATTACTTAGCAGTTTGTACTTCTGATTTTTAATCTCTTTTTTTCCATGTGTGCATTAGCAGTTTGTACTTCTGATTTTTAATCTCTTTTTTTCCATGTTAGCATATGATTCTACTAAGCTTTTTTTGCTCATTTCTGTTCATTTAGATTTTTTTCCATTTTTAGCTTGATTATTTAATGAAATGTAGTGGAAATTTTTACGGGAAGAAATGATATTGCAGTTGTAAAAAGTTATTGGGCCACAAATGGCCTTTCTTCAGGGGTTATACTGTATCTCATTAATTCTAGATAAAAAAATAAAAGAGGTACAACAATTTAACATTCTAGGGGTTTGATGCAGTCACTTAGATTTGTTTTTGCTGTTATTTTTAAGAAAAGAAAAAGATGTGAACTGGAACAGAAACAAAAGGACAGGATGGAATTATGATTATTATACATATGGGGTCTGCTGTACAGAAGTGGAAATTGATGTACTTACTGGGGAAAACCAGGTAGGACTGGAATTAACAGTTTAATAAATAAGTACATATATACATGTATATGTAATTTTTTCTTGCATATCAGACAGGACCTACCATTTACACTGGTGGTAGAAAAACCTGTTTTACTATGTGCCTTTTATGAATGAATTGCTACTTAAGATGACATCATTTTACCATTATGAATGAAGTTTGAAAATTCATACACTTCTATTTTATAAAAAAAAGCATAATGAGAATATCATAGCCTTGTTTTTGCCGTGAACAGTTATCCTCAAGCTAAATATTCCAGTCTGTACCAGCAGCCAGTGTAAGATTCTTATAAGATAGAGCAACTTTAATACTGTTTCAGGAGTTAAACTACACAATGTACAATTTTATTGTTTTCAATAAATCATATAAACACAGGGTGACTTTACAGGAAGAGGAAGACCATTAAAACAAACAAAAAAACAACGACAAAAAACATGATTAAAAGGAAAAATTTAACCTTGCCCCCAAGGATTGAACCAGCAATATCATAGATTGATCTCGAAATACATTTTGTTGGATAGATTGTTAAAAATAGTTTTATTTTGATCATGTTTTGCACTGATGAAGGCAACGGCTTTGAAAACAACAAGAGTCGGGACCATGGCAACAGCATTGTTAATTGCAGTATATTGTTATAAGCAATATTTTTATAAAGTGGAATTTACTGTATTTGTATTTGAAGATACTTCTTGTTTCCATTATGTTTGTTCTTGGAACTTCTTTGATCTATTTATAGGTATTGCAAGCTGATATAGTATTTGATGTTGGTAAAAGTTTGAATCCCGCTATAGATGTTGGACAGATTGAGGGTGGTTTCATACAGGTAACTCACTATCCTATCTCGGGGGTGGTTTCATAAGGTAACTCAATATCTTATCTTGAGGGTGGTTTCATACAGGTAACTCAATATCTTATCTTGAGGGTGGTTTCATACAGGTAACTCAATATCTTATCTTGAGGGTGGTTTCATACAGGTAACTCAATATCCTATCTTGAGGGTGGTTTCATACAGGTAACTCAATATCTTATCTTGAGGGTGGTTTCATACAGGTAACTCAATATCCTATCTTGAGGGTGGTTTCATACAGGTAACTCAATATCCTATCTTGAGGGTGTTTCATACAGGTAACTCAATATCCTATCTTGAGGGTGGTTTCATACAGGTAACTCAATATCTTATCTTGAGGGTGGTTTCATAAGGTAACTCAATATCTTATCTTGAGGGTGGTTTCATACAGGTAACTCAATATCCTATCTTGAGGGTGGTTTCATACAGGTAACTCAATATCTTATCTTGAGGGTGGTTTCATACAGGTAACTCAATATCCTATCTTGAGGGTGGTTTCATACAGGTAACTCAATATCCTATCTTGAGGGTGGTTTCATTTCTTGAGGGTGGTTTCATACAGGTAACACAATATCCTATCTTGAGGGTGGATTCATACAGGTAACTCAATATCTTGTCTTGAGGTTCGTTTCATACAGGTAACTCAATATCCTATCTTTAGGGTGGTTTAATGCAGGTAACTCAATATCTGATCTTGAGGGTGGTTTCATACAGGTAACTCAATATCTTATCTTGAGGTTGGTTTCATACAGGTACCTCAATATCCTTTCTTGAGGGTGGTTTAATGCAGGTAACTCGATATCTTTCTTGAGGTTGGTTTCACACAGGTAACTCAATATCATATCTTGAGGGTGGTTTCATACAAGTAACTCAATATCTGATCTTGAGGGTTGGTTTCATACAGGTAACTCAAAATCTTATCTTGAGGGTGGTTTCATACAGGTAACTCAATATCCTACATTGAGGGTGGTTTCATACAGGTAACTCACTATTCTATCTTAAGGGTGGTTTTTATACAGGTAACTCACTACCTTATCTTGAGGGTGGGTTTATACAGGAAACTCACTATCCTATCTTACTCAGTTCAACTGCCATGCACAAAGTGTCAGAAAATATATTTAAGAATTTAAGTAACAACACATGTTTATTCTTTAATTGTTCATTTCTTAAAAATACATTTAACATTGTGTAGAAATATAAGAACTTGTGAATTGATATACAATTTATAAAATGAAGCAATGAGCAAATTTTGCCTATTGGTTTAAACATATTTATTTAAGCTTGATAGGTAATAGTGTTCTTGCAACTTATATTAATCACTTTCAAGTCAGCTTCCTGGAAACAACCAGTACTGGTGTCATATGAAGAAACATGGTTGTGACCTGATTAGGGCTTGAACCCATGATTCCTGGGTTGTGAGGCAAACACCTTAACCACTAGGCCACCTCTCCCCTTAAGGCCATGTCTATTATTATTGATTATACAAGTTGCAGGTGATGTATACAGGAGAATATAGCCTATAAATGAGATAAATATGACCATAGATGCTAGCCTATATTTGTTATATGTAGTCAGGCGCTATCTGAGTGTTATATTTATGTCAGCAAGGCTATATTCTCCCCATATATCCAGTCAAAAACTTGCATAACTAACTAATGATATTGCAAATTGGTTTATGAAAAAAACCCAGCAACTTTAGACTGTTTCTTCAAAAAGCGGGAAAAAGATACAGATAAAGATGGTGTCATCAGATGTTCAGTTGCGGTGCAATCAAAAGTAATTCAAGTACAAAGTCGTCATATTCTTTTGACTTAACGATATTCTAATCAAGAAATTCGCCATGAACTGAACTCTATAGTTAAGTTTATGTGCACATAGATAACTGTCTTTGATGTAGAAATCATTGTTATTTCTGTAAATGATGCTCCAGTCTTCATGGTGTATATGTGGTAAAGTATTAAGCTGTTTAGAGTTCAATAAATGTATTTGCATTATCATAATAATTATTATAGTAAAACAAATCATATAGAAACATAAAGGGTTATTTATGGAAACACAGAATCGGTTGTTATGAAGGCCCCCCCCCCCTTACCTTAGTCAGCCATGGAGTGGTGGCATGGCCAAGTGTTTAATGCTTCAGACCAGTAACATAAGGATTGCTGGTTTTGAGTCAGGGGCAAGTCGTTGTTTCAGTGAGCAAGAAACTTCACACTCATTGCTTAGCACTGGTTGGTTCCAGGAACAGTTTTGATAAGTTTCAATAAGCTTATAGCTTCCAACACAATCAAACTAAAATAAATTAGTATAAACTAATTTTAGTAAGAAATTGTTGTGTCCATATTAATGTATCATTTCTCTAATATAGGGCCTTGGTATGGTGACAACAGAGGACATTGAGCCCGATGCGACCGGAAAGATACGGAACTGTAGTCCACTGAGTTACAAGATACCGAATGTGAGAAGTATTCCGAGAAAGTTTAATGTGACGCTCTTCAAGAACCATAACTATGTTACATCTGCGTATTCTTCTAAGGTGAAATATTATTAACTTACTTCAATCAATCTCATCTTAAAGTGACTTTATGCTCAATTTTTAGAAGTCAACTTGAGTAGAATTAGTAATATGTTTCAAGAGATAGACTATTATAATGGAGATTGACCAATAATTGATAATGCAAAATGTTTAAGGTAAAATATAAAAACTACCTGAATTATAGAAAGACTTCCCCACTTTTTTAATTTTCCTATACATTCCAACTATATTAATAGAAATATCCTTTGGTCATGTAGATTGTTGATGATTTTGCATAGGAAAATATAAATATTGGACACAATTATGGCAAAACTTTAAAGTTACTATGAATTTTACCTGTGCACTCAACATTAGACTTGGCTTGTCATAATGTCATTTCAATTGAAGAAATTTATCCATGGCTTTCACTCAATATACTATACAAATTTACAAATAATATGTTTGTGCCATTGGTTTGATAGGGTAGACTTATACTTTAGGAAATTGTTTATCAGTAAATCATTAAACATGGTGGATTCAGGTATTTATTTGTAAAAGTTTGTTTAGCTGACAGTTTATACTTGAATAATATATGCAGCTACTAGCAGAAAATCAGATAGTTTTGGTAAAAGAAAGTCTGGGTCAACTGGATAGTACTGGTAAGAGTCCAGGAAAAGTTGTAAGAACTGGAAACAGCTCTTGTATTATTCATACATAATTTACATTATCATTTTGGGAATCATAATTTTTTATGTAAAAATATTGTTTTTGCAAGTACTTACAGCAAGATATATTATTATAATATTATTTTTTATGTACATGTATATTTTACAGGGTGTTGGAGAGCCTCCTTTGCTTTTGGCAATGTCGGTAATATCAGCGTTGAAGGATGCAGTTCAAGATGCACGTGCCCAGATTGGTATACACGGTTATTTCGAACTAGATTCACCGGCCACTGTGGAGAAAATACAAACAGCCTGTGGCAATCAAATAAACAAGAAATAATTTGAAGACATTTTAAGTTTGTTTCATATTGTAGCAATATGGATTTTTTTCATCCTAGTCAGCTCGTCAGTTTCGAAAAAAAAGTTATTAGAATCCCTATTTCGCTGTTGTAGTAGTCATGCAAAAACTTTTATGTAGCCTATTATTCAAACTTTTGATTTAAAAGTTATCAATTTAAAACCTGGAATGAATATTTGCTTATTATGAAAAGGTGCAGTTGTGAAACAAGGGGCATAATTCTGAAAGCTATATCTTTGGAGTTATGCTCCTTTTTTCTACTCAGAATTTTTGTTAAAATTGGTAATCGATACTAGTAGTTGTTGCCATATTTACAGATTAGTATTAACACCACATGGAGGGCTCTTGTTCTTTTTACCTCTGATTTTGTATTATTATGGGTGTTGGGCTTTATATGACTTGTGTATTTACTTGTTAGGTTTGTGTTATTTACCTGTACTATCAGTGGTCCAGTTTCGGCACAGGACTTGATCCGACTAGTTCAATGTCATTTTTTTTTTGAAAACCAACAATTCATAAGAAAATGAGCTGTCATGCAACAGATGGTTAGACACAGACTGCATTATATTATCAACAAAAAATTCAAAAGTCAGAAATATTTCAGTGAAAACGACATTGAAGAAACCAGAACTGGTCCTGTACCAGAACTGATTACTTGGCTGTTTTTCTCTAAATTTAGAACTGTCAAAAAAAAAAAAAAAAAACCAAGATAAAAATATCAACCCCAAACTGGACAGTATTCATGTAAATAATCATATTACCTGTCACTTAATAAGAAACTAGTCAAAATTGTTGTGTTTTTTTTCTCTGAAGATGAAACAGTTTTATTTTTTGGGGCTGATGTGGAGAGTTTTTCTTTTAGATGAGGGTTGATTAACTCACTTGCATTTTTTATTTGAAACACATTGATATACAGTTGACTCTCGGTAACTCGAAATCCAAGGGACTTGGCATTTTACTTCGAGAGAAACGGAATTCGAGTAACGTGGATCTGCCGCCATTACTTTGACATTCGTATAATTATAAACATGTGCCTGATTGAATGTGCAAGACTAGTCTGCTTGGTAAACTGTTCTTTAATAGTGCTTAATTACAATGAAATTAGTTAAATCTTAATTTAGTTATCTAACTGTTAAAACCAATAAAGTTCTGAAACCGATTAAAGCTACTTTTACGATGTGTTAATAATACATGATGACCGGCAATTAAAATTACTATGAAACGTGTGAATCACGAGTGACAACATCTCACCTTGATTTCGCCGACCTTTAATCAGTCAGCTGTTTTCACACTTCGACTAATTGAGATGAAAATATGTTGGACATTAATTGACGGGACCGAATTTTCTTTTCCACTAAACAGGAGTCTCAGTAAGTCAAAATTTGACCTAAGCGGAGTTAAAATACAAAGATAAAGAAAGAAATTTGACGGGACTTTAGAAATTCTTCGACTAATGCGGAATTTTGAGTAAAGCGATTTTGACTTACTGAGAGTCAACTGTATATGGCTTATGATACAATTTAACATGTACGTTGTCTTTGACTTTACTTAGGATTTGGATTGTACCAGTGTTTATATTGTTCTTTCTTTGTATTTATTTTAAGTCAAGTAAATCTAACATGATCTGCTAAAATAACAACATAAGCACTATGCAAAGATTTCCTTCAATTTCATGGGGGAAAAAATATGAATTGATGTTTGCGTGCTTAAATCTCACTTCATTTACTGAACTGTTCGAAGTATAGGGAAAGCTTTTGTACTCGCCCTCATATATTGTTATGTATTTGTGTGCAAGTTGGTACATCAAACTTCACACACTTGTTGGAACTTGTTTGTGATTATCTTACATGATGGGCAAAGGTCTGATAACTTTTAGTTACCTTCCTACAGAGTTATGCCCCTTTTCTTATCTTCCAGTACTTAGAATAGTCCAGCATACTAGCAGATTATGTCAAATCAAGATCATATTCTTACAGAAGAAGGATTATAATTAAGGACCTAATAAACAAAATATAAAGATGTAAAAAAGATAATAGATATATGTTTCACAATCTGTATGTGGACCTGTTCCAAAGATCCAAAGATCATATATAGTGTAGTAAAGTTATATTTGTTGTTTGTTTTGAAAGGTTGTGATTTTACTCGACCTCCCTAATTACTGATTACTTTTCTAGGCATATGTAGTCTGACTGCTAATTGTGTAAAAATTGTCATAAAAACAAAACAAACAAACAAATTCTACTTTGCTTGAAGTTTACATTTATCTGAAAATAAAAAAGATCCAGTCACATGCCCTTTACAGGACATGTTATTAAACACCCACCAAAAATTTACAAACTGTATTATGTATTATAGTTATACATATTGCTTATTAGTCCCCTACCGGTTTAACCGGAGGGGACTTTAGGTTTACCCTCCGTCCGTCTGTCCGTCTGTCTGTCTGTCCGTCTGTCTGTCTGTCTGTCAGTCCGTCCGTCCACAAAACTGGATCCCGCGATAACGCAAAAAGTACTGAAAATATTTTTATGAAACTTGATATATGGATAGATGGCAGTATGGAGATTATGCACGTCTTTTTTTTTTCTTCCTATGTTGAAAATTCTGGTTGCTATGGCAACAAATAGTCTGAAAATATGGTAAATTTAACACATAAACTGGATCCAGTGATAACTCAAAAAGTACTGAAAATATTTTTATGAAACTTGAAATATGGGATGGCAGACTGGAGATTATGCACATCTTTTTCTTTTTCTTCCTATGTTGAAAATGCTGGTTGCTATGGCAAGAAATAGCCTGAATTTCAAGATTTCTGATTTAAATTTTTCAGCTTTTTCACTATATGTTCTTTATTTCTTAAGGTGTTTACTTCAAACTTTAAATATAAGTTTCTGGTCATCAACCACATCATATGTGACAAGGTTAATAACTCTAGCACAAAAATATCAGTATTACCTCCCTTGAACTTAGATTTTTTAGGGGAAAAAATGTTGTCTTTTTTAAATAACTTCTTTATTTCCTAATGTATCTACTTCAAACTTCATATATATGTTTCTTATTATCACTCGACATTTTTGAGAAGGTTAAATACTCTAGCAAGACTATTTCCAGAATTATGTCCCCCTTGAACTTAGATTTTTTTCGAGAAAACTGGTATTTTCACTTCAACTTCTTCATTCCTTATAGGATTTACTTTAAAATCCCACATCGTAATAATATGACAAGGTTGTATAAACATAATTTCCTTACTAAGCATGGAAACTTAACACATTACTGTGATATAGACAAACTTATTTTATTATGTTTTGTGGTTGATATTTTCAAATACAGACTTCATCCTCAAATTCATTATAAATGGCAATACACAGGAGTGTATGACAATTAAAGAACTTTTTGAGGGACCGGTAGGGGACTACTGTATTGCCCGCAATACTATCAAATGCTTGTTAAGAATTGTTTTATTAGGTATTTATGCATTTGCCTTCTGCCATGATACATGTATTTGTAATTTTCAAACATTTAAGCAAGCGTATACAACTGATAAACTTGTACCTACAGACATATGTTTGATTTAAGTTAAGACAGTTTTACATATACATTAGTTTTTGATTTCAGTTGATTAAGTTGTATCTATTGATTGTTATTTGATGCCTGTTGATATGTTTTACCTGCATATTAGTGATTGGTGCTGTTTGATAAAGTTATTCTTACAGATTAAGTTATTCTTACAGATTAAGTTATTCTTACAGATTAAGTTATTCTTACAGATTAGTGCTTAGTTGGTATACATGTAGTTGTACTTATATATTAAGATACGCTTACAGATTAGTGTTTGGTGCCAGTTGATACAGTTTTACTTACAGATTAATTTGTGCTTATAGATTAGTGTTTGTTGTAATTTGATAAGGTTTACTTACTTGCTAGTTTTTGATGTTGTATCTGCAGATAAGTGCTTGATGTCAGTTGAGATAGCTATTCTTAAGATTAGTGTTTGAAGACAGTTACAGATAAGTGCTTGATGCCAGTTGTGATAGTTATTCTTAAGATAAGTATTTGAAGGCAGTTTACAGATAAGTGCTTGGTGCCAGTTGAAATAGTTATTCTTAAGATTAGTGTTTGAATATAGTTTACAGATAAGTGCTTGATGCCAGTTGAGATAGTTATTCTTAAGATTAGTGTTTGGAGACAGTTTACAGATAAGTGCTTGATGCGAGTTGAGATAGTTATTCTTAAGATTAGTGTTTGAAGACAGTTTACAGATTAGTGCTTGATGCGAGTTGATATAGAAGTACATGTGATAGGATAGCTTATTTATGTATTTGTGTTGTAATCTTTTTTTTTTGATGTTTTACAATATTAATCAGAAATATGAGCATGTATTGTTGAAGAAAATAAAGCTAGTCACAATTGTTTTTCCACATCAAACCCTCTCACACCATTTGATTGATTCTGTTTTAGATGGTCCTGTGCAAGCAGCAAAGGGTATATGCTAAACAGTTGTCAAGACACATGTTAGTCTTCGGAGGCTCTAATCGGGTGCCCGTACGTGCCTGAATAATGCACGGAAGGGCACCTGAGGTCTTCCTCAACCAGTAAATCTGGAACGTCACCAAAAAAACTATACTGTGTCGGTGTGACGTAAAACCCAAACAAACAAACAAAACATGTTAGTCTACAACATGCTATAACACGGAGTATGTGTTGTATTGATTGTAATTGTATTTGTTTCCCCTCTCAGTAGGTGACATCATTGCAGTTTTGGTTTGTTCTAGCTTGCTTGTTTATGCATAAATTACTTACTTACTAGGAGTATGATATTTTTTCCGTTACTCGACAGAGGTCAAGGTTGAAGCCCCTATTTGGTGTGCACAAGTACCTAGTGATCCTAAAAGTTTGAATGTGGTAAATTGTTCAGTGCTTATATAAATATTTTGTAGGGTTTCCATGGTCAGGGAAATAATATTTTTTTATGGCAGGAATTTTGAAATTGTTTGCAGAATTTAAAATTTAAGCAATATTCAGGGAATTTTGAAACAGTATGTCTATGAATCATTAGAACACCAATAATGAAGACTAAGGCAGTTTGTACATGTTTGACTAGTGTTTTAATATATTGTAGTTATAACAGTATTATATAGTGCTATGGTACGTAAATTAAAGTCATTGACCCACCCTAGTGACATTTTTAGCTCACCTGAACAAGCTAGCTCAGGGTGAGCTTTTAGGATCGTTGAATGTCCGTCGTCTGTCGTCCGTCCACACTTGTGTGTTAACACTCGTAAATTAGGAGCTGGTTTTAATAAGATTGATCAAATAAGCCGTCACATTTACAAATGGAGTACTTGCTTGTTTTTAAGAGTCTTAGTCTAAGAATGTTATGTTATGAGCTATTGTAGTAAAGCTCACTTTAAAATTCATAAGTATTATCTTGTTGTATATATTGATTGACAAAAAAGTCTAATTTGATAAAATTCAGTAAATTTCACTATGACTTAAATTTGTTATTTATTATCAAATTTGAGGTTTTGTGT